GAGTGAGCGATGCGTCCGCGTGGACAGCTGCTATACAATAATACATTTCCATTTACCTCCTTCTCTATATCCATACAAAATATCTATCAAACAAATAAAATTAAAATTTTCTTTTGAAAAATGAAACCATTCCATCAGTATTTTCTTATGACGTTGTCACGTTCAACTATCGTCAGTAAACCGACTTTACAGACAACCGATTTTTTTTTTAATAAAAGGTACCTTATATCTTTTTATTCACCCCTGACAAATTGTACAACGTTTCATGATTATTGGTCGAGTAGTTAAAGCGTGAAATGATAACAAATAAACAAACTCATATTTGCATTCATAATATTAGTTAGGAAAATGGCTAAAAGTATTTACCTATATGAATTTTCCTACACCATATCGTATATTTTTCAAAAGTCGATACCGCCTTCCTTTAATGATTGCGAATAATAAACATACAAGGGCAAAAGAATAGAATTAGTACAATAGTAATCATTTCATATAATTCTAAGATCTACAAGGAACTATAAAAATTATTCCATCATCAACGCCATGTTTTTTAAATTCTTATCATTCAATGGATATCAGTAAGGATACCATTTATTCATTTGGGGCTTCAGAACCCTAAAAACGTGCATCAAAAGTCAATCTTTCAAATCGTTCTAGTTTTTTTATATAAAACTTCGTGAATATATTATTAAGTCGTCGTAATAACAATTCGCATTGTGAAAGTTGATACAGGGCTCGAACGACACGAAACCAGTAATTTTAACTAATGAATTTACGTTTACATTTATTAACCCCCATTAATAACTTACTAATTACCTTCCAATTAGTGAAAGTTTACAGTAAATTAAATGACTCAAAGTGTGTATTAAATATTCTTGTTGTAAAGCAACCTCAAACTTTTGAGTCAAACTGTATGTAACCACTTTAAATTGTTAATAATTAATAACAAACATCATCAGCAATGCACCAACTAATGCAATATGTACTTTAAATACATAATTACGAACATACCACGTGAAATAACCAAACACATACTTGAAGGTACGTAATTTTAATGCAATTATTCTGTACGATTAACGTCATTGATTGTGAATTTAGTTTAACTCGAAGAACCAACTTCAATCGTTGTCTTTAGTAATTTGTAGTAAAATTTTTCGTTATGTTTGTGATTTGATACGATGGAGGTCTTAAAACTGATAAGATTCCTACGCAAAAAAAGACCAGAAAAAGAAGAATTGTCAAAAAAAAGACACCTACCAAAGATGCCATCGTTATGGAAATAATACAAGTGATGCTAGTGCTTTAAAATAACAAAACATTAAAACTTTTAATAAAAATGTTAGCGTGTGGAATAGTGACAATACTATTTTTGCAAGTGTATGGTGCTAGTGTAAGCTTTAGGTGGGTCAAGGGTCAGGATATTCCAGAGAGCCCTTGCCCGTATATTTTCCGGTACAACGTGGATACCAATGGGAATTTGTACGGGAAAATAACAGTACCCAAGCCTTCTAACGACGAAAAAGTTCAATTAGAAGTTAAATTTCAAGTGCCCAATGTGGTTCAGGTAAGTCACAAAAAGAATTTAATTAAAACAATCAAATTGAACCAAACAATAAAGAAATAAAATATATTCTAATCTGAAAAAAACCTATGTCACTTTCAGAGATGTGATTTATTTGAAATATTTGCATTTAAAATTCAAATACAAAATACAAAAGCATTTCAAATACATTTTTGTCGTTAAAATCTTTAACTGAAGAGAGCCCAAAAAATTCTAAACTCCTTGAAAATGGATAATCTAAAATATTGAATCGATATTGTTTTCCGGGTTTAATGTTATAGTGCATGGAATTTTGAAGTTCCAAATTGATATCAGCACCTGCCAAATCACCACTTATCGTAGCTTTAGCAAAAAACTACGAAATTCTATGAATTACGACGACAGCCCGCAAAAGAATATCGAATTGATATACGCCAGTCGTGTAAAACTGAAAACTATGAGATATTGTGGTGTGTTAATAAAATGCCTATAATCCAAAATTTTTACAAAACGATTCGAAAACCTTCACTTATTAGATGAATTCAAAATTAAAGAAACTATGGACTCCATTTCTTTCTCATATTACTAAATGTAGAAGATCAGAAACAAAATCGTTGTAAATATTCTGATATAAAATTATTAATGTTGATTTTACGTCAATAAAATTATTTGCAACCTTATTTTAGAAAATTAGATAGGTACTATAAAAAAGTACTTTGAAAATACGTAATTTGCATTTAGCATTTAAAACAGAAAAGGGAAATGTATTTTGTATTTTACATTTGAAATAACAAATTAAAAAAGTATTTGCATTTTGTATTTAAATACTTTTAAAAAACCATTTTGTTCATCTAATGTCATGTTACAGTAAATCTTAAGGGTCACACGCATTTTGTAAAACGCCTGACTCTAAATGTGTCTGCCACAATGCAAAATTTCGTAATTTATTTGTACGTTTTTTAGACTTTGCCAAGTCTTTTTCTAAAAGTCTAGGTGTTTTATAAAATGTCTAATGTTCTGTACACATACCACACATATTTTCCGATAAGTAAAACAATACTTAAATCCGTTAGTAAATTCTTCGATAAACTATTAAATAAGTTTTTATAGCATACGTTTTTGAAGAACTAATGCAAATTTGTCCTTCAACATGGGCCATTTCAGATGATTGTAGTAATAAATAGAAGACGTGTCCCTGAATAGAGTTTCAAGGTGATGTTTTTCGATTCCATTATTATATCGCATTCACATTGATGTAATTTCAAATGCTACCAATTGGAAAAGTCATCAATCGTTATCAAAATTGGTTAACAATTAGCATATTGGCCTAATCAATATCAGTCGATTTTGACGCACCCTGGCCTTAACCATGGAATCGAAATAGGTCCCATTGAAACACTATTTAGAGACATCCCCTCGATTTATTTTTTCGATAAGAACCAATTTGCATTCCACTGATTTTTCTTCTCTAATTTCATTTGTACGAAACACAATAAAACTCTCTTTCGAATCGTATGTTTCAATCATCCTATATATATATTTTTATAGGGAGAAAATGGAAGAATTGATCTTCTTGCAGAGAATCCAGGAGATAGTTATATGAATTATAACCTGTTCTTTCCCGCCTGGATCAATCATGCGCCTAAAATTACCAGCATTTCTGTAAACAATCGACAGATATGCGCAGGGCCGGCTTTCGACAGTAGGTATTTCTTTTTTGTATTTCTTTCATCCGCACTTATTATTACGTGTTAACTTTCAACCGGATGGGAAACAGATTTAAAAATAAATCGCAAAAGTAACTTTCAATTTAATTAATTACTATTACATATAATTATTATAATTGCTATTTGTACGATATTGTTTTACTTATGAATGTATAGGGATCGTTAATTAATAAATAAGTATCTAAGGAAAATTATTTTATCGATATTATAATTACAGGTGTACCTAAATTTAATTAAAACTATATGCCACCTCAATAAATATAAGCAATAAGAAATTTATAATTATGGTATCTAAAATGTAAAAGCTAAAAATATTTATTAGTATATCGCGATGTCAGCGCAGGCTCTAAACTCCTCCTGGGGACCACATCCAAGGCGTCCGGTACCGTCTCGACAATAACCCCAATTATTTCCTAAATAATTGACCATAATCACTCGTTATTTTTCATAACTTTTTAAACTTACCGCATTTATATCTCATTTGGAGGACGCAATGTGGACAGTAAATATTGGGCAGCCTGTACCTTACCGTATAAACCTTGCTACCCTCCAAAGGATAATATTTAGTCATATGACCCTGCGTTCCAAACTGCGGTTCTGCTAGGGTCAATTTCATTTGATTGAGACACCTCTGGGTGGTGTGTTGGAAGTCGGGACAAAGCCGAAACGTAAAAAAGCCCTTATGGTAATGTGTCACGTCTACCACGATATCTATCACGCTACCAGGGGCGTACCTTCTCACGATCACCCCTTGACCATACTCACCCCCATATTCGTGACGACGCGGGAGCCTAAAATTAAATTTATTCTTTCGAATCCGAATCGGAAAAAATGAAATACGAAAATTTTACATTGAATCCCATGGATCGCCGCAAACACCACACATTCCCCTGTTCTGTCTCTGCCTGGTCAACCCCCCGCAGTTTAGCTCGTTATCTTCGTAGTTTGCGGGAGTCGCAAAACCAAAACGCCACGCTGAAGCCCTACTAGGGGGTTCTATGAGTCTCGCATGCCCTTTCACTGGTGGCACAATAAAAACACATAAAACATACACTAAAGTTGATAAGAATATGTAAGTATTCATCGCTTACTGTTGGACGCTCAGGGCGCGCTGAATGCTTACAGTAAAATAAAATTGGTCCAAAAATGGTTTTCGCAAAACTAAAGTTGTCACTGTCCGATTGTTCTCAAATTATACGTAATAGATGAAAGTTTCATTCTAGGAAGTATTTATATTCATATAAATAATTGTTTTTATCGTGGTGGTCTGTTGTTATTTATCGCGTATCGAAGCGTTAAACTAGGAAACGAAAGTTTCTACGGTGGAAGCGTCAAAAAACTTCACGGAAATCTGTGTTTCTTTATTGGAAGCCGCAGCTATTTTGGCAACATTCATTCAACACGTCTGCCGATTATTATCACTGAACTAATTGGGTAACACATTTCCTTTGAAAAGTCGTGCGAAAATCTTCGCAATACATGACATAATCCGTTTTCGGGCTTGTTTACAAGCACCGTTAAGTTGTCCAACAATTTTTTATCCAAATTTTTAACGCAATTTTGTTATTCCATATCTACGAAAGCCCCACCCAATCATTTTTGTTATTATTTCTTTAGTTTATCATTACATAAATGTCATTGTAAGTCTTCCGTCTTCGACCGCCTATCTGTAGGCCACCGTTTCGCACGACTACAAGTTATTTGTCTGCAGTATTTCAAACAGAATTATCATAACAATACATATTCATACTACGTTTTATCAGCGGTTTTGATCGCGTTGATGCCCTAAATACGTGTCAAACATCATCGACGATCACATAAAACTGATTTTTTCTGTCCTTCAGGAACAGCATTTTTTTCTAGACAAAAGGTACCCTATGTCCTTTTCTGTACCCCTAACAATATTGAGTGTACAAAATTTCATGATAGATTTTACCCGCGGTTTCGCTCGCGTTGATATCCTAAATCAGAAATCACCGACGATCACATAAAACTAATTTTTTCTATCCTTCAGGAACAGCATTTTTTTCTAGACAAAAGGTACCCTATGTCCTTTTCTGTACCCCTGACATTGTCTGCACAAAATTTCATGATAGGTTTTACCGGCGGTTTCGCTCGCGTTAATATCCTAAATCAGAAATCACCGACAATAACATAAAATTAATTTTTTTCTATCCTTCAGGAACAGTATTGTACCCTTTATCGTTTTATGTACCCTTGACAATGTCTGTACAAAATTTCTTCATAGGTTTTACCCTCCACTTCGCTCGCGTTGATGTCCTCAAAATCTATGAAAGAATCATCGACGACCACATGAAACTAATTTTTTCCATCCTTCAGGAACAATATTGTTCTTCCGGATAAAAGGTATCCTATGTCATTTTCTGTACCCTTGACAATGTCTGCACAAAATTTCTTGGTAGGTTTTACTCGTGGCTTCGCTCGCATTGATATCCTAAATATCTATGAAAGAATAATCGACGACCAAATGAAATTATTTTTTTCTATCCCTCTAGAACAGCTTTTTTTTTGGATAAAAAGTATCCTATGTCCTTTTCTGTACCCCTGACAGTATTGTGTGTGGAAAATTTCATGATAGGTTTTACCGGCGACTTTCCTCGCTTTGATGTCCTAAATACGTTTCAAAGACAACCACATAAAGCTAATTTTTTCTATCCCTCGGGAACAGTATTTTTTTTTGTTTTTATATTAGTTTGAACGTAAAAACTTGTTTAATTTGTAATATCTTTTCTACTTCTTTGAAATTTTTGTTATTGAACCCTTGTCAAATGTTGCAAAAAATTATTGTTTTCAGGAATAATTGCACCTACGTTAACCACAGTTACATTATGGAACACGCGAACGCGTATTATCACCAAAACTCCTTGTGTAAATGGAATTTGTGAAAATCAACCACCGATAACCATCGACTTTCGACCAATTCCACCACAAAATTCGAAAAAAGTGTATCCTAGACTGGATAATATCCTCAAAGCCTTAGAGGTGTACCAAGAATCGGGACAAATAAAACCAGGTATCCATTTGTACAAAATAAAAATCATTTATACTTATGATTACCATTTTATAATTGCAGTTTTAATTAGTATTAGTTTCTCTCAATTGAATATAAATAATCAACTTAATTACATAAAATTATAGATAATGATTATCATTTGTCGTTTAAAAATACGTGCAAGGCTAAATGCCATTTTGTTTACCTACTGAATAAACTTAACGTATCGCAAAAAACTATTTACAGATATCATTAAAATTGGTACTACTCCACGTCCGGTTCCAAGAAGCCAGAATTTCATTCCGTCTCCGCGGGACTCAGCTACTTCCACCAAAATTCAAAAGAACCCCTTCCTAAACGGCCCACTAAATCCCCAGCTGAGATACCCCATTGTGCCACAGCCGCAGTCACCACGGATAAGTGGTACAACAACATCCGACATAACGTTTGAAGAACCGGCTGATTCTTCGCCAGATAATGAAATTATGAGCAATATGAACGCTACGAACAGCATGATGGAGGTGTCTGAGCCAAAATTGGGTAAAATTTACCCTTACAACGACACGTGTGGCATGTCACCTGATGTAAACCATCTCATATATGGTGGAAAAGTGATTTCCAATAGGCAGGAGTTTCCATGGTTGGTTGCCATGTTTAGGAACAAGCTGGGGTTGAATTTCCTATGTGGTGGATCATTAATTTCCAAAAAACACGTTCTAACGGGTAAATATTATTCAATGTGATAGTTTACAATCGACAAGTAGTAGAATTTGTGGGTTCCTTACAGAAGGAGTCACATTAGATATTGAACCAACTGATTAACCATATTCTTGTACCTAATTTTTTAACAATTACGAATATATTATTAACAATTTTCCCAAAGAAGCCTTTCACGAGTTATAAAAATGAGAAGCAAGGGTAAAGGGATACTCCAAAAAGTTTCCCTTGACAAATATGGTTTGCCCAAAAAAAAATCCGTTAGTATAGGTGCTAATTGATTAAAAATCAGGCACAGGGATATGCATCCTACTCGTTAATGATAAATCTACACACACCATCGAAAAATGACTACACTATAATGACCTGTAATGTTTTATTAGCGGCTCACTGTGTTAAGGAAAACGACAAAACCATCCCAACCCATCAACTACTGATAATATTGGGCAGAAAAAATCTTCAGGTATGGTCAAACGACGATGGAGCTGAACAAGTAGAATCGGAAGAACTAATATTACACCCCGATTACAGAAAGGCCACCGCAGACGCAGATATAGCCGTCGTGGTGTTATCTAAAGGAATCAGATTTACTCCCTACATCAAACCCGTTTGTTTGTGGATGGATAATAATGCATTACAAAACGTCGTGAACTCGAGAGGTGTGGTTGTTGGATGGGGAAGGGACGAAAATGGGCAGGTGGTCACTTTTGAACCCAAACAAGTGACCATGCCCATTGTGGCTCAGGAAGCCTGTTTACGATCGAACAAAGCCTTTGCTGACATCACCTCTAACAGGTCCTTTTGTGCAGGCAAGTTCCAAAACGATTCATCTAAAATATTGTATAAATACAAATGAGAATGACGTCATCTTTCTATTTTTTAGGAGATAGGAATAATTCTGGACCTTGCAATGGGGATAGTGGAGGCGGTTTTGTGATGAAAATACGCGAGAAATGGGTCCTTCGAGGGGTTGTTTCTTATTCTCTCAGTAAAAGAGATAGAATTTGCGACTTAGAAGAGTATGTTGTATTTACAGATGCCAGTAAATTTACCGAATGGATCCTTAGTCTTATAACTTAACGATGTAAAATTGTATTCCAAATAAAAGTGTACATATATGAATACTACAAATGATTCATTTTTAAAAATCCTGTATCATTAACAACCAAAAACACGATTAGTGAAGGTATAATACCAATCAATATACGAATGTGACTTAAATTTCGGAAATAAAAATGAACGTCTCTAAACAGAAATGTGTATCTTGTATCTATAGCACAAAAAAAAAACAAGCTTGACCATAGATGTTTGACGTTACAATGTTTTTCTTATATTAATCTGCCTAATTCGTTGATTGCATTACGATTTTCTCATTAAAACCGCAATAAAATATGACATCTTCAATAAAGTTATTCTCCCTCGGAAGGGCAGGTAATATTACTCCATTTCCCTTCAAATTTTATTAAGTTCGTCGCACAAAACCAAAAATTTATTTAACATAACCTCAAACTGTTTCGTAACTTCTATAAAATTGTGAATATTTCAGGAGTAAATTTACTGAGACCCTCCGTTTTTGGAGTGTCCCCAATATTCAGGAATTATGCATCTAAGGGGGAATATATAATTGTTACAGACAAAGAACCTTGCATGGATATGAAAGATATAACTGGTAGATAACCTATATTTAAAAACAAAAACAAAATAATTATTAAAAATACTTTTTAGACAGAGCTGCGACAACTATGTTTGCACTAGAACTTGCCAGAGGTTTTGGCGTTACCCTGGGTTCACTTTTTAAGGAACCTGCTACAATTAATTATCCATTTGAGAAAGGCCCCCTTAGTCCCAGATTTCGAGGCGAGCACGCCTTAAGGCGTTATCCTTCAGGAGAAGAAAGATGTATTGCTTGTAAATTGTGTGAAGCTGTATGCCCGGCACAGGTACAGTTATTTCTTTGCCATTGCTAATAATTCGACTACCATATGAGTATTTTATTTTCGTAGGCCATTACAATTGAAGCTGAACCAAGAGAAGATGGTTCGAGAAGAACAACTAGATATGATATTGATATGACAAAGTGTATTTATTGTGGTTTTTGTCAGGAAGCATGTCCTGTTGATGCAATTGTTGAAGGTCCCAACTTTGAGTTTTCAACAGAAACTCACGAAGAGTTATTGTACAATAAAGAAAAACTTTTGCTTAATGGAGACAGATGGGAATCTGAAATTGCTGCTAATATACATGCAGATCATTTGTACCGTTAACTAATTAAAATGTAGTTGTAGAAAGAACTGTTAAATTATACGAATTTAAAGAATATATAAACGATTTTCTCCAAAAAAAAATTTTTNATAAAAAATAATTTAAATGCAATTATATCAGAAGTTACATTTAAAAAAAATATAATTGATCGAGCATGTCATAGATGTCGCGGCATGTCACAAAAGTCCTTCAGATGTTGGCAATAGAGTCGACAGATGGCGCGAGCATTATGATAAATTAAATTTAATACACAGGGTAATCCCAAAAAATAACAAGTACTAAATTTTACAATAACAAATTAAGTTACTAATCTTAAATGGATACTATACGCTATTATGTGATTTAATTTAATTAGAAAATGAAAAATAAGTAAAATTGCTGTTATTCTTAAAATACAAATTGCATGTAACAAATAGTACCTCTGTTTATCTTCAAAGATTATTTAAATATCAACGTTGTTTTTTTAATAAGAAACAATAACATGTTTTTTTAATAAGAAACAATCACACTGTCGCTACATGTTATTATCTCTTTTTACAAAAGTTCATGTTCAAAACAACTTTGTAATCCAAAATTAAACCAAATAAGGCCTGCATTCCTATTTTACTTTTCACCTTAATTAAAATATTTCACCTACATTGTTCATTTCAAACGTCCTTTCAAGATTTAAAACATTATTCTTATAAAAACCAATTTAAATGCATGTTAAAGTCATTCCTCTAAATATTCCATTTAGATTAGATATTAGAAACATTTACTTCTCGCAGCATTAGTAAATATTTTGTCCTAAAGTACAAAGTACTTTATTGTGATTATATTGAGCATCATTATTTACTCTTTCAGTGCATTGTTTACTTCAAATTTGAAAATTGTCAGCATCCTTTTGAACTTTTAGTGTTATCATTAGATAAATACTGTAATATTTATAACTGTGTTTTTTGGCATTTGTATTTATTCTTAACTTATTCCCTCTGACTTTAATTTCAGTTTCTATATTCTCCGAGTATAAAGTGTTTACAATCAGAAGTTTACAAGGGTAGGTCTTTATCTTTATTATAAATAAAATTAAAAATATTGCAGTTATTAATTTGTACCGGTTTCATTTATTTTTTCTATCTTAATATTTTTATTTGCAATTTTGTAACAGACAACATTTCATCCTAGTAAAGAAAGTAAAAGCTACTACTTCTATAATTTAACAATAATCATTAAGGTGAATGCAGTAATTAAATGAGTTAAGACACTCATTCCTAATAACTGCAACAATTCGACTGTTGATAATAGAAGTGATAATGTCCAAACTCAACGTTGGTCAAAAATTACTAATAATTATCTCTTTTAATTTATTCATAGAATTAGAGGAAAATGGTTCATTTCGATTACCCACCCCAAGCTCTACAAGGAGAACTTCGTCGTATAGCCAATGACCTTATGGCCCCCGGAAAGGGCATATTGGCCGCAGATGAATCCCTAGATTTGATGGAGAAACGGTTGAGGGACATTGGATTAAAGAATGATATCGAAAACAGAAGACGGTACCTATTAAATAATTTCATAAGATATTTATCATCAAAATTTTACAGAAATCTAACGGTCAAATTATAAATTAAAGGTACAGGCAAATTTTGTTTACGGCCAATAAATCATCAATGGGAAATTATATTTCCGGGGTTATTATGCTACCGGCTACATTATACGAAAAGGCAGACAATGGTACACCATTCATAGAACTTCTTAAAGAAAGGGGAATTTTACCAGGTGTAAATGTGGACGGTGGTCTAGTCGATTTGCCATTTACTAACGGCGAAACAATCACTCAAGGTATAACTAATGAGTGTGTGTACATAGCATTAAAATACATTTGAGATCATTTAAGGTTTAGACAATTTAGGCCAACGGCTTGCCGAATACAAAAAAGCAGGCTGTGCATTTGCCAAGTGGCGAGGGGCATATCGAATTAGCAAAACAACTCCGTCAGACTTAGCCATAATTGAAAACGCAAACGCTTTGGCCCGTTACGCGTCCCTTTGCCAGTCTAATGGATTGGTACCAATTGTGGAACCGGACATATCAAGAGACGGTGACCACGACCTCGAAACCAACCAAAAAACAACCGAAGTGGTGTTGGCAGCCGTTTATAAAGCCCTAAATGACCACCATGTGTTTTTAGAAGGGACCGTTCTAAAACCGAGCATGGTTACCCCTGGTAAAATATCTACATATCTTATACTATATGTTATTGTTATAATACTTCTTCCCTTGTTACTTCCAGGGAAAGACCATAAAACATGGTACAGTCCCCAAGATATTGCAAAGGCGACAGTGTTAGCAGTATCCAGGACTGTACCAGCAGCAGTTCCTGGTATAGGGTTTCTTTCGGGGGGTCAAACTGACCAAGAGGCAACCGACAATTTGAATGCAATTAACAAGTAAGAACAATTTTTAATCAGTTTTTGGCAACAGTTAAAACTAATGCAGTTGAAATATTACTTGTTTAATCTGAGGTATTATCTAACGTTTAGGTTAAAAATCAGATCTCATTGAGCAATTTTGAAGATATTTTTTTAATTAATGAATCCAAGTTGAATGAAATTTAAAAGGCTACAGTTAAATGTTAGCAGATGGCGTTATACTACCCATAAGAAAATTTAATTCCTTACTAAACCTAACCGGAAATTGCAACCTCTAGAAACCTTAAAACTAGATGCAATCTGGTCTAGTATTTGAAATAAGAGCTCACCCCTAGAGACAGTTACCTTTCTAACTCAATTCAGGTTTCAATTAGAAAACACATTAAGCTAATTCTAGTACCAATAATTAATGCAAAATATTTAATTGGCAATAGATTCACGGGAGCTACAAAGCCTTGGCATTTGACCTTCATCTTTGGCCGTGCCCTTCAAACTCCTATCTCTACTACTTGGAAAGGCAAAGATGAAAATGTAGTAGCTGCTCAAGAAGAATTTCTGAAGCTTGCCAAGGTTAGATTTACTTATTTATCTTTAAGATTGTTTGTTAACAATTAATATTCTTTCTTTACAGAGAAACAGTTTGGCCTCCTTGGGTAAATATAATCGATAGAGCAAATAATAAATATGCTACCTATATAGTCTACTATTATTGTCCCTACAAACACAAATAAAAGTTTTACGTTCTCAATTTCGAACAGGTTTACCTTTTTTTTTTTGTTAATAATGTACCAAACGCTCTTGCAGCACATAATTAAGTAAAAACCAATAAAACGTTAATATTTGTCTTGTAAATAACTCACCATATCAAGTAGAACATAGAGCATCCTTGTTTACAGGGTCCGTGGCAATGTAACCTATAAAACAAAAGAAATATTTAAAAAAACAATTACACAAAATGTATTTAATGAGCTACAATTAGAATTAGATATTAATTTTTGTGTTTTAAAACTTTTCTGGGCGCCATTTTTATGGTTAAGATTGTTTAGAAACTTACCATTTTTCTATATTTAAAAAACGTCAGATATCTACCACTTCTTATCACAAATCACAAAACTGTTAATGCACAAAACAAAACTTAATCGTCTACGTGTGAAATAAACATGAACAACACGTTTTAATTTAAATTAATAAAGAAGAATTACCCAAAATGTTCATCACAACCCGGCTCGCACGATAACGAAATTAACACTGCTGAGATGTTGCAACCACGCACCAACTTGTTCAAGAAGTCAACGAGCACTATGATCAAAGATTTTGCATTTATTCTCTATTAATTTACAGAAATATAGTAAAAAGTTTAATGATATTTAATAAATAAAAGATATTAATGATATCTAGTACTTACCCTGTAAAGTAAACTTTAAGAAACATTAACTAATGAACGGTTTTGTTTAAATAAAAGAATTAATTTAGTTTATGTGTATGTTTAATTTGTTTTACATATAAAGTAGTACGTACAAATACAACACTGGTAACTTCAACTTCTATTAAAATACGTATTTTTCAAATAAAATACTCAATATACAACATATAAACAAATATAAAAAAAATATATATATATAAGTAAACATTTACGTAGAATTGGCATTACTATTATTATCTTCGCCTAAAAGTTTATTTATTTCACATAATCGATCACTAGTTAATTCCGTTTCTCCGCGATTTACAAGATCTTCTTTTTCTTTTTTAAGCTCTAACTTGTTCGAATAATTAAGTTTCGAAAATGTCCATGATCCAGCTCCATCGAACTGAAGCATATGGGTATGGAATTTCCTGAATTAAAAGAAAAATAAAATCAATAGTACCAAAAGTTTCACGCTCCCTGGTATAACGTTAAAGTAATTTCTGAACGTCCCAGGTATGCAACCAATTCTTTATGTTATATTTACACCAGTGGCGTATCACTAAAAAACTTACCAAAGCGTGGGCCTATGTGTGATGGTCAAAAGGGTAATACCAGAGTCAATAGCGGCTTGGTATATTTCACCCTCTACGTCAATTGATATGGCAGACGTACATTCATCCAATAAAGCATATTTCGGCCTGAATTAATATAATAAAATTTATTTCATTAACAGAAAAAAATAATGAGAAATAT